GGGCTAGGCATAGGTAGTACTCATTAACTACCTGTGAAAACCACATTCAGAAGAAGGAAACCCTCCGGGAATATGTTCCTTAAGAAACCTTACATAGAATCAGAAAAGTGCATCTGTTTCTTTTAAGACCATATAATATATGGAATTGAAACTACCCAGATGCTTTTTTATAATTCTGTTATCATGGTATCTTTCTTGAGGGATTCTCATGATAAGTAATCACAAGGAGATTCACCTTTAATGAAATTCTGCCAGGTGAATATAATGGGTATCTGGTCTTTAAATCTTTAAAGTGAGAACCATTAATTTTATAACTGTCGGAATCAGATACACCTGGATCAAATCCTGGGTCTTCTATTTCGCCATTTGTAGAGCCTTTTATTTTTTTTTCTTTCTTTCTTTTTTTTTTTTTTTTTGGTACCAGCAATGGAACCTATGACCTTTGCTTGTCAGGCAGGCACTTATACTTCTGAGCTAAATCCCTAGCCCTCTCTGAGTTTTTATCTGCAAAATGGGTATAAAATGTATATGACAAGACAGTAATTCACTTACACATTCATTCATGGGATGGAGTCAGATTAGCTGGACATGCTGGTATAAGTCTGTAACTCCAGCATTCAGGAGGATGATGCAGGAGGATTGTGGTGAGTTTGAGACCAGCCAGGGCTGTACAGTAAGATCCTGTCTCAAAAAAAAAAAAAAAAAAAAAAAAAAAAAACATAAAAAAAATGTCGACTATGTACCAAGCATTGGTCTGTGTTCAGGAGTTTCATAGAAGGGAACCAAATAGATTTATGTTCTACCCTCACCCGCTCCAACCCTCAGAAAAAGGGAAAAAAGTTCAGATGTTCATATTATGAGAATTGAATACAATACCACAGGTAAAGCATTTAGCACTGTATTGGCATATAACAAATAAGGAATTACTTAGTAATGATCACGTTTGTAATAACTAGGGTCATAATACGATGCTGAATAATATTTCCTTTTATAGTGAAGCCTGATTATCTCAATAGAAAAAGAACATCTCATTTAAAACAAATAAATGATTAACCCATAAACACTGTAAGAATTAACAAATTTGTGATTTGTGTTTTTCTTTGTTGAGGGTTCACTGGCAAAAGATAGTCATATACAACATTTATGCTTTCTAAGAACAATGATATCTAAATCATTGTCAGAAGAATGGTGACAGTATCAAGTGCATTAATTACACAGTGTGTGGGTTCTGCAGAGAACGCAGGTGCTGCTTGATAATGCTATTGCATTAATACTGTCTTTGAGATTCTACAGAACACTCTGCAGGGTAGCTTTTGAAATGGAGGGCTGCCCTTCCAACAGTTTGAGCATTTTCCTAATCCGATTAGGGCTCTCTGCCAAGCTAGCAGAAACCTACCTCTCACAAGGTGCTCTTTGAAAAATCGATGCAACCAAAGCAATGTAACAAATTCAAAAGAACTGAGGGAATATTGTACTTTTTTTTTTTTTTTTCTTTCCATCCCTCCGCCTTTCCTTTCCCTTTCTCCTTCCCTCCTCTTTTTGGACCAGCTTTTGGCATGAAGTTTTAACGTATGGGGGTATTGTTAACCAATTGTCTGTATTTTGCTTAACTACAGAGAGAATTCAAGGTAAAAGTTTCTCAATAGTTCATGTTTTAGATTTTTAAAAAGCTGCTACAGACTTGCGAACAGTACCCTAAATGCTTTGGTTTTGAATTTGGTTGTTGCAAAATCAGTTTATGTTATGATTCTATAGAAACAATTCACAGGGAAGATTGTCACAAGTCAAAAGCATCAATATCTGTGTATAACAAAACCATTTGTCTGCAGTGTGCAACAGCTGCACAATATGAATTTGCAAATTTCCAGTGTATTTTTATGAGGCTTTACAATGCTGAATTTTATTGGTCCATAGGTCTTATTTTGCTAAAATAGGAATTCTTTTCTTCCTGCCAAATAAGTTCATAAATTTTGCATTTGCTTTTAAGTATTTATAATAGATTATATATAGTAACAGACATGTCAGTAACTTTATAAACATTGAAAATACGCTATGTATAAATACATATTAACTCAGAGCAGTAGAATGTACAGTGGAATATTAATCAGTTTCTATGCTCCATAACCTAGTCTTTTAGTTCTCTACGTAAAAATTTTTCTTCATTCTTAAATATCCACTGTAAAAATTAAGAGTTCTGATTTAGCTGGATTTTTCAAACACTATGTCTGTGACAGGTTACAGATCTATCCTGAATATTCTTGAATAGAAATCATATTCATTACACAAGTCAACCTTTGTGCTGTTGCTCCCTGCAGCCAGTGATCAGTGAACAGCATTAAATCCGAGGTTGCTCAGGAGCTGCTGGTGGGGAGACAGCCATAGTCTCAAGTTTCTAGCAGGGTGTGGGTTGTTAATGTTTGGAACACATAGATCGTTTCCTGTGTCTGAGGGTAGGTGCCTTGGATGGGGATAGGGCTGGGAACTGGAGGTGCTACTTTAGGCTACTTGATTAGGCAAGAGGCATCAAGCTGGCAGAGCAGCTCACCTGGCATTCAAATTCACATGTTTCAAGGTCTAATTATATTACCTTGAAAATATCACTGCAGTCTGTGGTGTATTGTTTCTTTTCCCCAGTGAATCACGTCATATATTAAATATTCTCTTGTTCACCTTCTTCTTAGTAAAAACGTGTGGGGCACTTGCACAGATTTTGTCTAAAGATAATTTATGAGGCCAAGAGTGAATCTGCTGTGATAGGCAGGCTCAACCTTGGCAGATTTGACCTAGATCATTCTTTGCTATAATACTCTGTCCTGTGTTTTGAGGACACTTAGCAGCATTCTGCCACTTTATCCATTAGATGCAGTAGCACCACCCAGCTGTGGCAACCAAAAGTGTCTCCAGGCATAGCTAAATATATCCTAGTTGAGAACCATGAGTCTAGGAAAAAGAAAATACTTGAATTCTATTTTATTCTAAAAATGAATTAGGTCCAAACTACCAAAAGAATGTATTTTTATTTTCTAATATGGTTCTTTTGTGCCATAGGAATTACTTTTGTAATATATAATTCATAATGCATAAAACTTTTTCTCCAAAGCTCTGTTGAGTACTTCATATATTCTGACATGTTCTTATTCCTTTCAGAGCAGAGAATTAGCTACATTCTAATAAATCTAATCTAATGTCAGTTTCATCCTAAAAATATTCAGTGAAGATTTTACTCTTTGCCAGTGGGAAAGGAAAAAATACATTTTTTTTTTTAATTTTAAAGAGGGTAAGATTAAACATAACAAAACAGAACAAAACAGATCATAAGGAAACAATTTTAAGAAACACAGGTTTCAAAGCAAGTCCACTGGAGATCTTCACTGTCTATTGTATTGTCTCTAGTTTTCTTCCAAATAGTTGTCCCCATCTTTACACACACTGAACATTATAGTACTAATCTAATCAGAACAGGATAATGAAGGCTTTTTAGGTCTTCAAGACCTGACATTAGGGAAGTCAACAGTGGCTGCTATGTCTCTCGTTCTCTCGAAGTAACTGTCTATATCTTTATGTACGCTGAAATTAAACATAAGAGACTAGACTAATGTCATTCTGAGCAGTGAGTAATAGTATTGCTAGATTTTATATCAAATTGCAACAGAATTAGCACTGGGTATCTTAGTGTCTCTTCTTCAGAGTATCTGTTCATTACATCGTGCGTTATATAATCTGTTCCTGTAAACTGTTTAGAGATTCTCCAGAAAATATATTTTTAAAAGTTACCTTAAAGAATAGGGTTCCTTTTGCACATGAGTTTCGCTGTTTAGGAGACCCTTTATTTTCAAAAGCATTAAACTTTGAAAATTAAACTTTAGCAGGATGTGGTACTATAAACCTGTAATCCCAGCAACTTGAGGCTAATGTAGGAGAGTCAGAAGTTTAAGCCAAGTTTGAGCAATTTAACAAGATGCTGTCTTAAAAATAAAAAGGGCTGCAGATGCAGCTTAATGCTCCTTGAATTTAATGTAAAATAAATTGAAATTCTTAAAATACGTTATCATCATTAAGGTGGGAAATTAGGCTCTGTCATACTGGAAAAACTAATTGTTAAACAGACTTCAGGTAAAATTCTACTCAAGAAAGTATATATTTATTGATACACAATTTTCCACATAAACAGTTTTGACATCCATTGAAGCTTTTCTGAGAGAAATTCTGTCTTGTGACAATTGATTCGATGTTGCTATATGTATTTGCTTGAACTAGTCTGTAATATTTCTTTAGAAGTATTCTGTTTCAGACTTAGCACTGCAGACATCTCTCATAGTAAGGCAGCCTCATTGTTGAATGTCTCACAAGAATCTCATGGGGTCGGAGAACAGTTCAAATTTCTTCAAAAATCCTGCATCAAATAAATATACCAAGCAGTTTCTCTTATATTCTCAAAAGGGAAGGTGTCCTCATTTCCTTTCACTTATCCATGAGACTGATTTACAGTTTCATTGACTATGAACTCTGTTACCTTCTGGGAATTCTGCTGTAGGTAAGTATAGTAGGACACTTGCAACCTATTAACAGTTGTAAATAGACCTTTCAAGCACATCTTCTCTAGCAATTATGAAATACATTTCCTACACAGGTTTCTAGGATTAAATCATGAACATATGGAGGCTTGGTGACCACAAGGAATTTCTTTATTTAATACTTAATCTGTTATTTAAAAGAGAAAGGCAATTTTATAGATTGAACTTCAGAATTCCTACGGAGAACTTAATAAGTATTTTATCTCATACCTTAGGGCGGGAAAACATTGATTTGGTGCCTATTTAATAAAGAATCCTGATTTTAAATGAAAATAGATAAAAACAGATTAAAGGAAAGGAGAGAGGGAAGAAAGAATGCATTGTGGATAGATAGATGGATAGATGGATGGATGACAGATGTGTAATGTAGGTTATCAACTTTCAGCTGAGACCTGCATATTAAGTGCTTCCTTTTTTATTTTTCAGCCAATGTTTTCAGTTGCACCAAGCTTAGCCACCAATGCATCAGCAGCCTTTAATCCCTACCTGGGACCTGTTTCCCCAAGCCTGGTTCCAGCAGAGATCTTGCCAACTGCACCAATGTTGGTTACAGGGAATCCTGGGGTTCCTGTACCTGCAGCTGCTGCAGCTGCTGCACAGAAATTGATGCGGACAGACAGACTTGAGGTAAGAATGATTAGTTGGCTTCATTGTGTATTCCATTCTAATGATCAAAGTGTTCCCATAGCCAAGTAGTTTTTTAAAAATTCAAAGCAAATGGTTTGGTTTAGTTTTTGTGGCGTTTTACTGAAATATAGATATTCTTTATTTAATGAATATAATATATGTAAAAGCCTCAACACCACTGAAGAATAGTGGGTATGAGTTTGGACTCTTAAGTCAGGGTCCCTGTTAAGTGTGTCATGGCTTGGTTTCCTTATCTTTAAAAAGGTGATAATAATGGCGTTTGCCTCAAACAGTTAAAAAAAAAATCTAATGCAAAAATGCTTTTTAAATGTTTGAATGTTTTTGTTGTTGTTACTGCTGTTGCTATCAAGAATAACAAATTATTGTCAGTTGTGGTTACATGCCGGTGATCTCAGCACTCTGGGAAACTGAGCCAGGAAGATTACAAGTTTGAGTGCAACTTGGGCAACTAGTGACACAGTGAAACTCTGTCTCAAACTAATAAAAAACGAGGGAGGTCCGGAGATAAAGGTCAGTGTGAAGACACCAGATTCAACACCTAGTACTTTCAATAAAGTAAAATAAAATAAAAATGTCAGCCCCATTTTATTTCTTCCCATAATGTTGAATAAAGTGTTCTAAAACTTATGGTTGTAAATTTCTTCATAAGCTACACAGTTTTTTATTGAAATAGCAAGGCATCTTTGTGAAATGGAATCCCACAAAGGTATTTTAATAGGAAAGTACTTGGTGCTCTGAGTGCTTCAAAGATGATCAAATGCATAAATGAATATGCTTGGCTGTTTCTACCTGAAAAAGAAATGTAACATTATTTTAAAATTGTTGTGTAGAGTTCCAACAGTTGTGAATTAATGGACCTAGTAAACTATAGCTGGAGGTGAAAATGACAACATTAATTGAAGGTATGAAACTGGCATCGTATTCCCTTTTTATGTTTCTCCGGTTAGGCAATACCTAGGGCTGAGAAGTGCTACATGGATTAATTACTGAGAAAGCAGTAAAGTAAGGCTGTTGTAAAATGTAACGGACTCAAATAATTTGTCATTTTACTAAGAACTGGGTTAATAAGCACCAATGTTTTATTTATTAACCTTTCCTGTGTGCTTTAAAAATGACCTCAGCTTTTACGTATTTGCAGCTGTATACCAGACATATACATCACAAATTTAATCCTCAGGACAAAATATAATGAATGTAGAAGTTTAAATTATTGGATGCTCCGCATTTGAAGCAGTTTTATACCCTTTGACCTTTTATGAGAGCAAACTCAGGGAGCTCTTATTGCATAATTGTTAATTGATTAATTGAACCAGCCAGTCTGAGATGTATGTTAGTAAGTTAATTATTGATAGGTGAAATACTGAAAAAATTGGGAGAATAGAAATTTTAGAAAGCTAGTTATGTTCCTAGAACCCTTCTAAGCTAATCCTCCAGCAATTTTAGGTATGGATTCATCAGCTATATTTTATGATGTTTAATTGAATTGAAGACTTTTGTCTTTGGTTTTCTCTTTTCTTTCTGTAAGTAACTGCCTTATATGTTTTGTCTGTTTTCTTTTGCTCTGTCTAGAATGAATATCCACATTTGCATCGCCTGTCATTTCTCTTTCACCTAAATCCCACTTACTTAAATTCCGGAGAGTAGTTCAGAGTACTGTCTTACTCTTGTTGACACAATCTCAGCCAGTGTCCCAGTTACAAAATGCTAGGATATTACATGTGGCACTTTCTGCTTTTTGCTCATGATTTCCGACATTCTTAAATTGAGCGTAGTTCCTGTCATGCAAACTGCACTACATATTGACGTTTAAAAGACATGTGGTTTTGAATGTACATAAATAGGTACTTATTGGTCACAAGTTTGGTTAATTATAGTTTAAATCTATAATATTTTAATGCATTTTTGAATTTTGAGGTTTCTTCTGAGATTATAATCTCAGAATATTGGCAAACTTTTATTGTAATTTGTTATATAATAAAGAAATTTAAAATATTTTGCTTTATAAAAATGCTTAGAACTGATATTTATATTACTCATTAAAAACTTATTTGAAAAGCAGAAAGCCAAAAATCTGTGGTTGTGAAATTAGTTAGCTAAGTTTGGGTTGTGGTTCTAAAAAACCTCTGGGTGTGTCCAACTAGAACATTTAAGGGGCATTTACATTATTTTCTCACATTTAACACCAGTCATAAGGTATTGAAACATTTTTTTAAAGTTTATTCATATATATGCAAATATAAAATTATCACCTACACATGGCACCAACTTTATGTCTGCCTTTCTATTTATCTATATCTTTGTTGGCATTTTAAGAAGACTTTCTAGCCTTGTACTTTCTGTACTTTAAATTCAGACATTTTAGTTTTATCTGAACAAAGAACAAATGTCTTAAATACTAGTCACTGAATTGTGGCTTGCAATGCCATTTTTTGTGACCTTGGAATACCTTTCTGTAGTTTCTACCCAGCAGTTTACTTTGTAAGATCATATTATGAAATAATCAAAATCTATAGATACTACAAAAATCTGAGTCCCTAAGACCTACCCATGCTTCATGACAAAGATTGCTAATTAGGTAAATCATTGACTTATTTTAAGAAGCACATTAACTTTCATGATGCAAAAAGAAACCACAAATGCACTTATATTCTCACTGAACAATATCCTACATTAAACATCCTTTAAATAAATTCTGAGAAGTATTTTTAAAATCATTAGATGCTGTCTGTATCAATCACAGAAAGGTTCACATCAGAGTAGTGCTAAATTCATCACTATTCTTCAGTAACTTGCTACATGAATGAATACGTGAATGAGTCAACTCAGCCAAGTTACTCAGTTAACTAATCACAGGAGGATACATGTCTCTATTTAAAGTATAGGGTAGTCCCACAAAGATGATAAAACATTAAAATTTTTAATTTGAAAAATGTTAACATCCTCCTTGGGAACATACTTATGCTTTTGAGCATTCTAACCACAAGACACTGTGTTTTGCTCCCAGACCTTGTTTAGTGATGTTCAGAGTTCCATGAGGTTAGAGTCACAATTAGTGATTACTAAATATTCAACATCACTTTCTAAAATCATACTCAGTTGCTCTGTGGTGGGGCTCAGGAATGTTTTTTCTTCCCCAGAGACCAGGTGAGTGATGTGTATTAGTCAGCTTTCCCATCGCTGGGACAAAATACCTGACACCTGCAACTTAAAGGAGCAGAGGCTTATTTGGCTCATGATTTCAGAGGTTTCAGTTTATGGTCAGTTGGTTACAGAGCATCATGGATAAAGGATATGATGAAAGAAAGCTGCTTACTCTGTGGTGGCCAGAAAACGGTACTGAGGAGGAGCACCAGTGACTAAGGGCACTTGATATAATCCCAAAAGGCATGACCCCCTAGACACACCCAGAAGTGTGCTTTAATTTCTCAAGCCAAGGAAGTTGACAGTGAAGATTAACCATCACATAATCCTATAAATACAAGTGGTCTGTAAAACACTAGCTTTGGAAGATGCCGGCACTTGTTTAAACCTCAAATTTTCATCATTTACTTCATGAGTAAGTTACTTATGTCTCTGAACTGAAAATCTGCCTCCTCCAATGCATGTGACATTCTACATCTGGCCAAATTTCTGTGAGACTATGCCTAGCACAGTGAAGTGTTTCAGATCAAAATAATGTCTGTTAAAGTAATTCATATAACAGAGTGGTAATCACCCAAACACCAGTGGCCACATATGGATGCTTATGAAGATGTTTCATTGCTGTTTGATCAGCTGCATCATTATAGCACCAACAATCTTCATGAGAAAAGCACATTGAATAAAAGTTCCAGGTTATATCGGCAAAGTACTTGGCTTCTGATATTTTTGGTTGGAGCTTATTGTTTTAAAATAAATTATTTAAAGTAAATTATTCTTGTGCTATAAGTATTGTTCTACTAAGTTAAATCATTACCAGGTTTTTAATTCAGGGCATTGGTTTCTTTATGTTTCCATTACTTATTGATAGAGAAAAGTGTAGTAAATCCTTGCATATAGGCAAAAATTAATAAGGTACCTATTAACTACATAAAAAGGTGTATTTCTAGCTGAATCACTAAAAAAGTAAGATTATGTTGGGGATTTTATACTTTGTATGGATTTAGTGTGTTCTATGTGAAAGACTTCCTGTTCAAAAACTTAGGAACAAATGATTTAATAATATAGGAAACACTTATTGGTAGGATTATTTATCATATTTCTCTAGTGTAATACTACTGCTTCTGTTATATTTTATTTAGAAAAGTACCAAAAAATCTTAACAGTGTTGTACACAGAAGTCCAGTTGGTTAACGTTTAAAATCTGTGATAAGCTAAGGATGGCATTAAAAATATATAATCATACCCTAATTTCAACCATCTAGTATACAATGTCTATGTGAATTATCACTCTGTGATTAGTCTGTTTTGTTTTGAAGATTATATTGTAAGTGAATTAATATAAAATAATTTCTAATCTTGGCTAATCATTTCTAGTAATGTTTCTAATTTCTTCATTAAATTAAAACAAAAATTTCCTTTATTTTGCAGTTATTTAGAAAGGATAATATAGTTGATCATTTTGGCATATTAAGAGTTTATTTTTAACATGTATTCATTTTCTTGTCCTCTTGGATGTGTACACTCACTCACAGGGTGAAGTAGGTTTACTAATTATCTTGCTACACATTCCTGTATATTCAAATTTGATTTTTTAATTTGAGGTCAAGTGGCATTCTTATATAATACACTTAAAAGATATGTAATATGTGTGAATATAGTAATAATAGTATTTGGAAGTATACATATGTTTTCTGACCTAAATAATGGATTTACCTTTTTAGAATTCAAAGAAATGTATATTTCTAGAAATCCAAAGTGGTACCTAATGTAGTTATCTTTTTCTTCATTTTGTTTTAGAAAGGGAAAAATATATCAAAGTTGTTCAATTATTGAATAACTGTCTGAAATTAAAAATCACATTAGATCAACTAAGGAATTTAATTATGTCATAAATTAAATATTGATTTCTGCTAATCACAAGAATATTAAAATGTGGAGATTTTAATCCTTTTTAAAATTTGAAAATACAGATACTTTATTTGCATTAGGGTACAAATAGATGACTAGAAATTCTGGGGACCCTTCGTAAAATCATTGGTTATCTTGTACTACTTTGGAACATACTAACTTGACCTTAATAACAGAAGTCGTTGATGATTGTTGTTTAACAACATATGTTCATATATTTTTTAATTTCTAATATTGGTCATTTTATTTTCAACTAATTAATCAAAATATTAGAATAAATGGAGTCCCTTACTGTATTACAATTCAATCTGTGTTCCTACTTTTTTTGTTATTTTCCTAAGATGACTGAGTTAATTACACAAATGTGGTGAACACACTACATACTATTTCAAAAAGATCTTTTAAAAAAAAAGATGCAGATGATTCTCCAGGTTTGAATTAATTCAAACATTGACATGAATTTCCTTAGAATCCCAATGCCTAACTTGCAGAATTTACTATTACTTATAAAACCTCTTACTATTTTGACTATTTTGGAATGCGTTATGTTTAAGAAAATAGATTGAATAAGGAACTCTATTGTAAACAGATTGTATAATCCTGATAAGCTACCTATCCATCATTTTTATGCAGTATTCATGACATTTTAATTTTGTGCTATTAGAGTTTTAATTCAGAAGAATCTGTATGTAGTAAAGGGAATTGGAACCTACAGTTTCTTATATCAAATGTATCTTCTTTCTACTGTATCTGGTATTTATTTCACAAAAGATTAATTTGACAGAGTGAAAATTTCTTTGGGCAGTTCTTACGATGATTTTTCTGTTAACTATTTAAAGTATATAATTATCCTTTATATATTTCTCTGGGTTTAGTATCAATAATTTAAACCTAAGTGCTCTCTGTGAATATATTCATTGAAATCCAGAATTTTTTCCCTAAAAGCAGCCTCTTACCTTTTATTTTTATTAAAGTTTAAAAAATAACCTGGTTTTTAAAAAAATCCTGTCCTAAATTGTGTAGTAAAAGACTCACTGTTATTTTGATTGAATCATGTGTTTTGTTTAGCTATATATAGATGATTATTTAATTTAGGCCTGAAAAACACTTCTCAAACTATAAAAAGTAACTTTTATTCTTCAACCCACTAATGATATTTGGAACACTTGTCTCTAGAATTTTTAAATGTCTGCAAACAAAAATATATTCTCTGTAGAGTAGGAATTTGGGAATGTTGGGGACAATCTAGGTATACTCTGATAGAGTTACACAGTTTGATGAAATTTAAATAGCCATCAGCAATAGTCACTTTGGAAACTTTTGCAAAATGAGAAAATGCTTATGTGTTATGTAAATGTGTGTTATGTACATATACACACACGCCAGTTTGCATGAGGAGTGTAATCCTTATCTATTGCAAATATGTACTAATAAAAAATAAAACTTGGAAAGAAAAAACAGCATTACTAGACATGCTAGAAAATAAGGTCACTCTAAATACTGCTTTGCACAGTGAGAAAAAGTGTATGCTACATTGTTGACCAAACAAAAAGTAATCAAGTTAGTGCTGTTGTATAATTTCAACCAACTAAAAATGTGTGAATGAAGACTGAATTAGTTGAAAAAGAAGAATATAAACATAATATTGTTAGTACTACTAGATATAATTTTATCTTCTCTGATCCAAAGTCTCTGTATGGCAAACCTTAGTTTATTCTGACTTGAATTGTAAGAGAAATTTGTTGCAATTTTGTGTCAGTTATAATTTGCTACTATACTACTACATTTAAAGATTTGGAGATGTAGTTACATTGTTTTGAGTATATTAGGGAAAAAAAAAAACAGACCAAACTCATATTTATTAGTCAAGAGATACATTGCCTTTTATTGATGGTGGCTATTGAAGGAAACTGTCTTTCAAAATTCTGGTAAATTTCTTTCATTCAGAGAGGTGTTCAGTATGCCAGATACACACCTGGCTCTTGACTTTTTTTTTTTTTTTTTTTCTTGTTTGAAACTGTCACCACTGAAGGTCTCATACAGATTTTCTGTTTTTATTTTATTTTTTCAAGGGTTATACCAGTGAAATAACCAAAAATGCCTATCAGTTGACTCTTAAATCCTCAGAAAAAAACTGGGTTTAGGATATACTTTAATTCTTGTTAATCAACTATGCTTAAATAATTTGAGCATGCTTCCTAAATGTATTCCACAAAGTTGTAAGAAATATTAAATTTTGATGTCAACCCTCAGTCTACAGAGATCACACACAGATAGACAGACTTTAGACTTCCTTTCTTCAGTTTGGCAAAAAGTTAAATTGAAAAATAAAGTGTTAGTTTCTCTGCTGCCAGTTCTTTTATGAGCAGTATCAGGAAATTAGGGATTCCTATGAGCTAATATCTGAAGCGACAAGTCACATGTGTGTCCAAGTTTCTTATTGAATGTAGCAATATTGAGTAATTTGATTAAACAGAAAGTAGAGTCTTTGTTTATGCTATGGTATAGATCTAGTATGAATGCCAGGTATATGTAAAGGAAGTGTTTATTCCCATTTAATTTAGGTGTGTCTACCTTCCTCTCAATGGTGGAGAGCCGCCTCCTAGTTTTGATTTGGCACTAGGAATCTATGCTTAGAATGGTTTACCAATGACTCCATTTTTCAGCCAGAGGCAGATAATTGTTCTGGAAAACAGCTTCATCATACTTACTTTTAAAATTATGAACTGTTGGCGTAACTTCTTTTTGTTTTTCTGTCTAGCAACATAAATATGGTAATAAAAATAGTCTTTTACTACTTCCCAACTTATCTTTATACTCTTAGTTGCTTTCAGTGTATCTGTCTGGTACATGGTAGTTATTTAATAAATTTTTAAAGAGTAAATAAATTTAGATGATAAATGAAGTTTGCTTATTGTTGTGCATGTGGCATAGAAAGCTTTAGCTAACTTAGTATTTCTAAACAGTACATTTGTCATTTGTAATGTTCATTTTATGATGTAGCACAGTACAAATTATAAAGTATATCTTAAGGAGCACTTTTCTTAATAATAGGATATAAAATATAATGGAGGCAAAATAATGGATTTAAGTGCATTTTATTTATATAAGTCTAAGAAAATACTTTTAAAATCCTAGCAAGGTTACAGTTTCTTTGTTACCTAACTTCAAAATAAAGTGCTCATGATCTGCATTTGTTTAGCTTGTGAAGAGATCCATGAGACCTAGAGACTATTTCCTTTCAGCATTGTGTGTTAAAAGCTTTGGGAAATTTGAAGTACTTGAACTAAAATTTAAAAGGACATTCTGTGTTTTAGGTGGCCCTCTTGTGGTGAGAAGGTCAAAGTATCCCTAAGAAGGCTTGGAAATATTCATGCTGAGTCAAAATTAAGCAAATGAGTGGCAGATAATCTATTTTCATCTTTTTTCTAGGCTCCTGGTAGCAAAATTAACAGACATAAATCAAGCAGACAGAAACACAAACTAGTCTTTTTTCCATCTGTTTTGTGTAGCTACTATATGATTCTGATGATCAAAAGTAACTCATGGGAACATTTTAATTAAAAATTATTAAATTTGATTTTTTATTCTGTTCACTTAGAAATAATTTTATACTTACATAAAAGTTGCAGAAATATAAGCAAAAGTGTTTACTTTTCCAATGAGCAAACTTTAACATTTTATTTAATTAAAGTATCATCTATAAAACTAGAAAGTCAGCATTAATATACTGCTGTTAACCAAGACATAAACCTTAATCAGATGTTATAAGTTATACTATCAATATCCTTCTCTGACTCCAGATTGTTCAGTGTGTGACATGTCTTAGTCTTTCATTGTTTTATGATTTGACACTTTGGAAGATTACCCATCAGTGTCTTTGTAAAATATCCTTCCATAAAATTTGCCCACTATTTATTTAATGGTGAATTTTAAGCAAAAATACAAATGTTCTCCATTTCACTGCCATATCAGAGGTTGTAGGATGAGTTTATGTCTTATTATAGTAATGTTCACTTTGTTCACTTGGTTAGTGGGCATGACAAGTTTTTTCACTGTAAAGTTGCTCTTTTCCCTGGGTAATTAATAATTTTAGATTAGATGCCTTATGTTAATCACAAATGCATTTTCTTTTTCAAAGGCATTTTAATAGAATGAGGTTATGATTTGTATATCAAAATAGACATCTTTGCTGAAGCTGGTTTGTTGTATTGTCTGCAGTGATCTTTTCTCCTTCACCTATGGCTATCAGCAGTTTTTAAGATCAAGTTACAGTCTTCAGAAAGGTCATGCTTATTCATGTTGACTGAACTCCATGCACTTACTGGCCTCCTAGGTATGTCGAGAGTACCAACGTGGCAATTGCAACAGAGGAGAAAATGATTGTCGGTTTGCTCATCCTGCTGACAGCACAATGATTGACACAAATGACAACACAGTTACCGTCTGTATGGATTACATCAAGGGAAGATGCTCTCGGGAAAAGTGCAAATACTTTCATCCTCCTGCACATCTGCAAGCCAAGATCAAGGCTGCTCAATACCAGGTCAACCAAGCTGCGGCAGCACAGGCTGCGGCCACTGCAGCTGCCATGGTGAGTATAGACATCAGCTCTGTCTTTGCCAGCACTCAGAAAAGCAAATTAAACAGCTGTATCCGAGTAGAGGCTATTCATTTATTAACCTTTTATAATTTTTTTTGCTGAAGATATGTTTGTTCAGGTATCCCAGAAAATACATAAAGTTACCATTCACAGCAGTGAGGGTAACTCCTCAAATGGTTCAGATTGCTCCTATTCTCGGCCTAACTCTCAATACTCTGTCTTATTCTGGATGTAGGTTTTCTGAAACTTCTGCTTTGTAAAGAACCACCTGTCTCCTTCTTTTCAATTTAATGATATTGCCATTCTTGGTCTTCTTATTTTTTGTGTGCCATCTAATCAGCCATTGTGTTCCTTAGGTGTGTTCTTTTGCACATCAAGGCTTTTCTTTACATATATCTTGCTTTTAACCATAACACAATCTGGAGCTGTTTAGGATAATTGCTTCAACAACGTTGTGTTCAGAATTAACTGCAGGATTTTGAACAATACGCTATCTAGATTGTCTCATAATATTGTGGCATAAACCTAATTAACTATAGAAGCCTCACTATGCCATAGGAGAGCAGTACTCAAGGAGTTAGAAATTGGACATTTAGAGTAGACTCTAAACAACATGTTTAAGGTAAAGTTTAAGGTAACCTAATAGCTGAGTTGAAAGAGTCCATTCTTTGCTTAGCTGTTTTAATGTTGTCCCTTTTTACATAAATATTTGAATTGATCTCTAAAATATTCATAAAAAACACTGTAGTATTTCACAGCACAGTGAAATAATCATGAGAGAGGTCTTTTCTGTGTTTATTATGGATACTTGAGCAAAAATACAGAAGGCAGACTCTCTCCTTTTCTCTTCTTTTCACTTTTTTTTTCTGTTAGAGTATCTTGTTTGTAATTAACTACAAAGAGGAATTATCCTCTCAATAACAACTCAATAGTGCCTTTATTGTGCATGCTTAGTCTTGTTATTCGTTGTATATGGCATTCCGATGATTTGTTTTTTTATTTGTTTTTTCTCACCTACCCAAAAATGCACTGCTGCCCCCATGATGCACCTCTGCTTGCTGTTTATGTTAATGCGCTTGAACCCCACTGGCCCATTGCCATCATGTGCTCGCTGCCTGCTAATTAAGACTCAGTCGGCTGTCAAATCACTGAAGCGACCCCTCGAGGCAACCTTTGACCTGGTACTATGACCTTTCACCTTTTAGCTTGGCATGTAGCTTTATTTTAGATACAAGTTGTTTTGGTTTTTTATTTCAGTTTTTTTTTTTTTTTTTTTTTTTACCAACTTGAATATATATTCCTTTTTCTGTTACAAAGTTCTAAAGTACAATGAAAAACTGAGTGTGGTTTCCTGACAAAATTAGTAGAAAGACTAATTTAAGTACATACGTGGATGTCATACAGTGCAAGACTGAAAACCCAGCAGCCCACATTCAGTTTAACTACATTGTAAAATGTGCTAAAGAAATACCTGGAAGACCTTAAAGTGTATTTTTGATTGTATATTTTATGTACTTGTTTGGTTAGCATGGCTTTAGTAATAGAATTATTTACTTTTTAGTATTTCTAGTTCAGTATTTAAGGAAAAAATTGCATGCCTGGGACATTTGCATGTGTCGGTAGATCTGGTTGGGGGGAGGGCAGAGCGGTGTAGGTTTTTATGTTACCAGTTTCAGTCACACAGTACAATTAACTATTAACATTGCTTATACTTGTCAATCCTCATGGAGCTCGCAGTGCAGCTTTTCTTCTTTTCCCAAATCAATGGCTTCTCACATAAAGCCTGAAGCATTATGGGATGTTAAACACCTTAACACATGTTAACATATGCTCTCCTCCAGAGGGATTTTGTTGTGGACAGAAATAATGCTTCCTTTAAAGCTTTTATCTTGCTTTTTTATTTTTCCTTTAGTTTTTTTGTTCACTGGATTTTTCCCCCTTGGGTAGTTAAGTGCTCTGCTGCTTGCTTGCTCATGCTTCCTAACAATTTTAGCCTTCAACTGATTTTTCTTTTTTCTTTTTTTTTCTTTTTACTGGTATTTGTTTTTTATACTCATTCACTAAACAGGGAATTCCTCAAGCTGTACTTCCCCCATTACCAAAGAGGCCTGCTCTTGAAAAAACCAACGGTGCCACCGCAGTCTTTAACACTGGTATTTTCCAGTACCAACAGGCTCTAGCCAACATGCAGTTACAACAGCATACAGCATTTCTCCCACCAGGTAAGGGCATGGATTTGTTAATGAAAGAATCTGATGATCAAGGTAGAAGTCTATTTTAAGAACAGATAAACCACAGCTCTGGATTGCTTTTAGTCATAGATAAAAGGGGTAAGGTAAGATGGTACACAGTGGAAACTTACCTGAAGTATCTCATATTTTTCTTAAAAACTAGGAATTTTAGCTTAAGGAAACAGATTAATTATCAGTGGTGTTTTATATATTTAGTTGTGTTTGTGTTATTTTGAATTGAAATGCAGTTCTCTTCTCTTTTCCTCTCTTTCCTCAACATTGTTATATGTCTGTCAAGCTATTTTATGATATTTTTTTTGCTGTAAGACCCTTTTGCCTTCATAAGTCTGTGAGTTAATTTGACTTGTATGAAATGACTCTTTCAATTTTGATTAGTTTTTAGCCTCTTTGATTTCAAAGTGGTCAATAAAAAACTACGTTCTGGAGCTCTTAACATATGCTCTTTTTTGTAACAGTCAATTCCTTGCTTAAAATTATTATTATTCTTAAGCTAATATTGAAATAGTGATGTTTACATTTATACTTGAATTTTACATTTGTGGTTATAGTTTATTTTCAATTTGGTCACATACATATATTCTAGATTTATTAACATGGATTTAAAAATTAAAAACAGGAACTATCAATTCATTTAGATACCTAGAAATTTACTATTTTTACATACATTGAAATTCAGAAAATACATATTAAAGTTATTATATTGTGAAATTTTGCTAGCCAAACACTTTAAATCTCATTTTTTAACCTCTCAGCTTATATTTTAAAGTATCATGAGTTTAAAGATTTAATAATTTAATTTTATGAATGAATTAATGATTAGTTGTGATTATCAAAGATCTAGCCCCTTATACTCCAGTTAGTATTTGCAGTGTGTAAGTTTAATAATAATATGAGAGAATGTGATAATATTTTTTTGGATTCATGAACAAAGAAATAAACTATACTCAAATTAGTTTCTAGTGATAGGCACAGCATTTTTTATAGTACATCTTTAAAAACTGACCATCAATAATACAAATAAATATATAGAAGCAACAAATAATATAGGATATTCTATTAAAATAGTTCATGCATATAGTATAAAATGATATACTCCTGACATAGTATTTGTCAAGTGTTTTATCCCTATTAGAATAAAAATTAAGTGATTTTGATCTATAGTGTATTCATTGCTTTCTGGGGGAAAAATTCTATAACTTTTCCATATAAACAGTTTTTCAGGAACTTTCAAAAATTTATCTTTTTAATTTTTTATAAATTGCCATGTCCCTGGATTTTACTATTTCCAATGAATAACCCATCAATTTTTTGTACTAGACAGAAATTTTAATAGCTTATAGGTAATATCATAATTTCTCCCAAAAAACTAACAAAGTTTATTTTTGTGAGTCTATTTCATTGAATAAAACATTATTAGAAGTGATAGTTTCCTTAAGATCTAAAAATAAAAACAAATCTGTCTTCCAGTAAATGTTAAGGAAGCTTCAAATAATCTTTCTTAGCAAATGGATTTTTACATCAGTTTCTCCGAAAGTCATGTGACCGTATTCTTTTCTAAGTAACTGTAATCATCAGGTGAATACCATACATGATCCTTATTGGTTACAGTAGTATATCCCCTTAAAAGCTTTAAGTCCATAATAGAAAAATAACCTCATAAGGATCAAGGCAGGAAGACAGTAAATTCATTCATAAAGCAGAGTCATTTTTTTTTTGCTTGAAAGATAAGCACTGCTGACTTATATTACAATATGTTGAAACGTGAAATTTTAGATATATGATGCATTTCTTTTATGATACATTTTATACTAGAAATTCTTCTTGGTCATAGTAGTAATGTGAAATAATATTTATTTGTCTCCCTCTTTTAAGGGGCTAAAACCTCAGGTTGACCTATTTATTAGACACATAATCAGGATTAGATACTGCCTTCATACTTTTTCAGAAATGTTTTCCTTTTTACAAATGTACCTGTGTACACACACACACACACACACACACACACACACACAAAATGCCCCTATGACATGAAAAGTTTAAAACAGCCTATGTTTACTTCTGCCAAATCACTGTCAGATAGAAAAAGAAGCCTAAAGCAGGGAATGTGAACTCAGACACCTCAAGAGCCAGACAGCCAACATAATCCAGTAAAGCATGAGCTAAATTGGGTGTCAGCACGGAGCCTGAGAGGTACTAGGAAGCAAAGGCTCATGCCCAGGGAGAACACTCAGTGTTCAGGCATAGCCTTTTGTTGTCTCAGAGGCACATCTGCTGGCAGGTAGTTCCCAGTGTGGCACAGACCTCTGTCTCTGTTTACACCACAGTGTATTGGAGCAGTGCAATTGTATCTGGGCCTTGTATGCTGGGCTAACACAATCTGCCCCAGAAGCCCTGCTGAACAGTGCTGCTCCAGAATATACAGGACAGTGGTATGTTTATATATGAAATCCCCCAATTTTTAAAATGTGCCCAATTCAGTTCTTAAGTCATAACCTTTAGGAGGATGTAGTGGACCTGTAATGCTAGCACTCTGGAGGCTGAGGCAGGAGGATCATTGCGAGTTCAAGATCAGCCTAGGCTACAAAGTGAGCTCAAGGCCAGCCTGAACTACATAGTAAGACCTTGTCTCAAACAAACAAACAAAACCAACCTTTGAGAACTAAAAATTAAGTAAATTCTACCATGATTCACATGTAATTTCATATAATACTTGAGAGTAATCAAGTTCATTTCCCAAAATACAGGTTATCCTATGTACAAATAACAGAAGAATCATGTAACCAAAACATTCTGCCTGACAGTCTAACAATTGGGAAGGTATGCTCTGAGGACCTTACTGGAACTAGGTAGAAAGTGGAAGTAATTTGTATTTCCAGCTGACATTTTACAGTTCTATAGTCTGTTGTTTCAAACGAAAAGTGACAGACATATGTAGGCCTATTTAATTCACATTACCGTGAAACATAGTTGGCTACATCCTTACAATAGGTGACTGTGCATACAGGGAATGGGTTGCTAGCATATCAGGATTCTGTGTCAGGCCACCCAGCAAGATATTATCGGAGAAATAGCAGCGGACAGTAACATTTAAGAACAGAATTGGGCTTCAATGGTATCTACCCATCTGATCATCTTAGGTATATGCATATTTCCATCCATCTTTCTGTCATTGTGTCCCTTAGCTCCCTCTTTTCTTCCTTTTGTCCATCACTCTCTTCTGACATTCCTTCTTTTCATCTATTCATCTTCTCATTCATTCAAGCAATAAATTCTGATTGCATGCCATGCAATGTATCAGTATTTACAAAAGAAATTGTAATCTCATAGTTCTAGGGGAAAATCTAGTATCCATAAATTCCTTATCTCACACAGTTTTTTTAAAAAATCTCACTATGAATCTTACAGGATACATCTTTCAGATTCTAAGCCCTAGAATTTCTTGTTGCCATAGGCCTGATTGTTTCACATACTACTTTTAGGAGTTACTTTTCATTGAGTAACTGTCCTGTATCATCCTGCACTAGGTACTGGACATCTTCATGTCTTTTTTTCTCACCACAACCTCAGAAGATTGGCCCCCACTTTACCTATGAGTTATATAGGGTCTGCTGAGGCACAAAGATTGGTCAGGTGAAATGGTTTGTGGGGTTCAGAAGAATTTGAACTTAGGTTTGAGGACTTGGGTCAGTCTCTCGGTATCTATCTATAAACAATGTACTTAGTAATGTAGATATCCAAGAAAAGATCTGAGCAGGATACATACCTGTAATCAGCACTCTGGGGGCAAGACAGAAATTTTAAGTCCACCTTGGGGAATTTAGAACTTAGTGAGACCCTGTCTTAAAATATAAAGACTGAGGATATAGCTCAGTGTGAAGACCCTGGGTTCAATCCACAGTACCACAAAAACAACCAAATAAAGAATGAAAAGAGAATTTGGGAGAATGACAACTAATCCTTTTAATTACCTAATGCTGTGCCTGAATTTTTTACACTTTTCATCTTATTTAAAGAAAATATTGAATTAAATTTATATTTTCACATTTATACTTTTCATCTCATTTAAAGATACACATTAAATTAAATTCATATTTTTGTTTCCAATTTTAGGAGTATACAACTTCTTTATTTTTACCTTCGTGCTTCAGACTAATTATTTATGCAGATTAAATAAATATATAAATAATCTAGAGCCTACTAATATTGTACATGTGAGCTTCACTTCTGAGTATGTCAGAAATAACATTTTTAAAACATTTTTCCTCATGAATTTAAATTAAGCTCAGTTCTACACACCACTCTCACAGTGTCAGCTGGGACTAATTAATAAAAAGGAAAAAAGGTGTTTGATATCAATTTTGATGATTCAATTAATTGTAAGCGTTTGGTCCTAAACGATACTACATTATTTTTAGAAGACCTAAATCAGCTTTGTACTTATAATAAAACCTAAGTTGGCTTGAATTATCACATGGAAATTTCAACTTCTAACCAATCCTCTTTTAAAGTGATTTTTTCCTTTTCTACTTGTTTCTATTTTTCTTGAAATAATTTTAACTATGTATACATTTCATTTGCAAATTTCCATCCTGTTGTTTACCCTGCCTCTTCACAAAGATCAATTTAAAATTTAATTTAAAAAGTTATGTAATTGAAATAACACATTCCACAGAAATACACCATTCAGCTAAACATATCTTTGTAGGCAAAATTGGAAATTGACAAATATATCCGCTTAAATTTTGCCTTGTGCTGAAAATTGAAAAAAAAAATTTAATTTGGCTATTTGTGCATCATTGTTAGTAAATCAAACCATTTAAGTAAAGATGGATATTTTGGTCATTTCAAAAGTGGTTTTTCCTTTTGGTAAGTGGGTCCTACAGCATTTTGTCTTCATATTTGTGAGTTACTGCACCCTGGCTAGTATTTTCATTGCTGCCTTATGTTTATTTGCTGCAAATCCCTCTCAGAACTGTGTGCATTGGTTATAACAGCAATGAGGAAGACAGCTCAAACTAAAATTCATGTCATAAAAGGTGCAGGGTTTTAGGGTAATAGTATATGGTTGATTCATTTCCAGCATGTGCAGGCTTCATTATGCATGGAGTGAAATACAGTAGGCAAATTGCACTATAATAATAATACACTTTAAACCTATAATGGTTAAAAAAAAACCTATAACCGTTCAATATTTAAACTAGCATTAATATCCTTTAAATAGCATGTTATTCTTTTTCATTCATCTTCTCATATTTTCTTTGGGTATTTCCCAGTCCTGCCCCTACCACTAGAAGATAATGGTCTCATAAAACTTAGATCCAGTATTAAATTTTGCTTTCTCTACTGTCTCAAATTAATTTTTTGTAATTATCAGTTTGTTTCTGTTGTCTCTTACTAGACTGTATTAACAGATTACAGAGATGTCTTAAATAATGCATGACAATATAACAATATTTGCCTGAAAAATGCTTCCCTATATCCAATACAAAGTTTAATTTATGCCCACAGTCTAATGGTGATAACAGACTAATTGCAGCTATGACACAATGCCAGTTAAGTAATCTGCGTTTCAGTTAAGTTTCTCAATAGCAGCTTTGTTTCGTACGGCCATATCTGACAAAACTCAATTGGCAGATACTTTTCTAACAAATGTTCATCCCAGATGCTGCTAGTATTTAAACAGAATGTGCCAAAATTTAGATAGAAATACAAAGTCATTTGATATTTTAAAACTTAAAAAGTCTAAAATAGTCTCACAGAAAAAAAAAAAAAAACACGGTTCTTTGTATGGGAAAGTGCCTTGAACTTTGTAAAATTAAAATAGATTTTCAATATTTACATGTTAGAATAGGGGCTATAGACATGTAATGCTTATTTTTACTTATCATGGTCAAATTATTGTGAACAGTAGTGCCTACAACATGTGTACCTTCACAGTGTCCGACTCACATTTTTACTGAAGTCTGATTAGTAATTACTTGCATGTAAAGTTTTGTAAAACATTTGCTACTGTGGAAAGTCTTAAGGACCTAAACCGGCAATGAAAACTAGTCTGTTTTCTCAGATACCTGTCAAGAAACTTAATTTGAGACTTAAAAGAATTATATTCCCACTTATAGTACTTTTCCTACATTTTGATTGCAAACTAAAGAGCCAAAGAAATTTCACCTTCTTTATGCATAATTTATTACATGATAGCTCTCCAATAAAACCCATTTCATGTTTGTGTGGTTACTCCTTCAGTGAACCGAGGAGTAAAACCAAGGGAATTAAAATGAATGTTTTGGCTTCATTACATTGTTCAGTGTTGTGCATTGACTTATTTAGTGTCTGAGTAATAAATACTGTCCCCAGTTATTTAAATGTGTTCAATTTAAAGGCAATTAAATATATTTATATGTCAGAGTCAGAAGTAGCAGAGAAACTAGATGGCTAATAACCATAATAAAGCAAAACTAAACAAAAATTAACAGTATTATTTTTAAAAGAATTAAGCAGATTTAAATATTTTCCAAAATACTTTTTCTCTAGACAGCAGTTAATAGAAACAAAGTGTACCAGCACACAGTTAAACTGGCTTGTAATTCCTCACTTGAGACAAGTTCTAATTGATCACTGTGCTATTGTATGATTTGATTGTGCTGACAGTTACATGCCACTGTTCCCATAATAACAATTTTTCTTCTTTGTTCAAATGAATTTCCTAATTACACGTGTGATGGGATGTTTTAATTCTTTTCCCTTTTCAAATCCACCTTCCTGTTGCAATGCATGATGGGCAGGCTCAATATTGTGCATGACACCCGCTACAAGTGTTGGTAGGTGCCAGCTTTGTTTCTTAATTATCTTAAACCTATGGTGCGTCTCACAGCCCCTCAAAATCCACTGCTCAGTTTAACTTTTATCTATTGGGCAAGTCCATTTCCCTTTTACTAACACCTGTCAATTAAATGCCATTTTCTATTTAATTGACATGGACTCACATAAATGTTTTCTTTACACACAACAGTTTCCTTTAGTCACCTTTGGTGGATTTTGATTGGACTATGAGTTCTGGTGTATAAAACAAAAGAATCTGTATTATAAAAGTAATAAACTGTATTTTTATAATAGTAAATAGTAAAAATACTTTTTTACTCAGATAACTGTATATATCAAGTAAATATCTGTATTTTTATTTAGATTTTGATTGTCTATGAACATTATATAAAATTCTTGTTTTTGACATAGCAAATTAAGCCTGTTTTTGTCAATTTTCTTGATTTGATGGTAACAAGCTTTTTCCCCCCCCCTCTTTTTTTTTCCTCTTTCATCCCCTCCTCTTCTCTCCTTGGAATGTTGTCCTGCTTTGCGCTGTGATTGCATGTCACTCGCTGGTGATGATGTCCTGTCACATGGCTTCTTGCTATGATAAATACCATGCCCAATGATCTCTTCCATGTTGCCATGGTTTCCATATTGCTACACTCTTCTGTATGTTTGCTTATATGATTTTCCCTCCGAAAGTTCCCATGGTGCACGGTGCTACGCCAGCCACTGTGTCCGCAGCAACAACATCTGCCACAAGTGTTCCCTTCGCTGCAACAGCCACAGCCAACCAGGTTTGCTAATTTACAGCTTTGTTTCTTAAAAGACAACTCTAATAGGGCTCAATCCATCAGCCTTTGTGCACATGGATTTCCCATTGAAGTCAGTGGGAATCCTGTGTCTGTGAGGGCTGTAGAGGGTGCTGTAATGAGCATGGGGTTTCAAAGATACCTCTTGTTGGCCTACACATTCTTTCTATGATGAGCAGCAGAATGCTTTTATGCCATTTTATAAGTGCTCCAAAGTTGTCGCGGCTCTATTTCTGAAGCTACTAAAATATTATTTACACAAGCAATTCTCGTTTGGTCTCAATCAATTGTGTAGGTATACTGATTAGTCAAAAATAGAGGCAAACTTCAGATTTTTATTAAAAATGCTTGGTGTGTACAATTCCATAAGCTCTTACCTAAATGCTTAATAAAAAAGGAAAATATTTAAATGTATCACATATGCCACAAATGACCACTCTTGTAAATAGGAGTTTGTTATAATTTATTTTCTTTAATAAGCATATTGCATATTCAGAAATAATTAAGTCTATGTACAAGTTTCTAACTTTGATTCTCAATGCTTTAGATGGGAAAAATGCTAAGTGTTAATTCTGCAATTATTCTGTACAAATATTGGAGATTCATGAAGAAAACAGAAAATATGCTAAATTGAGATTCATTGTACATTACCTACAGGTTTACAGAATAACAAGTAGGATACTTTTAAATTAAAGTAAATTTGTGATATACAATGACTATTTAAAATAAAATTATTATTTAACATTTAAAAGGTGACATACATTCTACCAGCATTTTCTGATTCTATTTAAGAATATATTCTAAAATGCTGGTTCGATTAAAGTCTCATTTATATAAAGTAAGTTTGAGTTTTAAATACATAGCTATATTTGTTATAAAAGAAAAATTCAGTTGAGTTCCGTGGCATGAAAATAGGTAACTAAATTTCAGATAGCCCACTGACTACAGTTAGATGAAGTTGAGTTTCAAAGAACCAATATCATATGTGACTCTACATGTAGCTGCATAAGTAAAGAAGAACAATGGAGTCCCATCTAAATTTATATTGTTTTAACATGCTATTCCTGTACTCTTGATGAATTTTCAGATATTCATATACCTGTTAAAAACTTTTAAAAGTATACTGCCAAAATGAATTAATTTGAAAGCTTTACACAAACTTTAAACATTTCTTGGAAAAGAGCCATTAGTTTTTCTGAAGCTTGTCAAATTAGCCTTGAATTTATGCTAACACATCAGACTCATTTACAAGAATGCTAGTTTGTGTGTATGTGGCATGCTAGTAAATAATCTTTGACAGAAATTATCTCAGTCCAGTTCATCTGTGATGAAGATCACTGGTACTGAACTCTCTCATTTGTATCATGTGTGACTATGGAATTGCTAGTGTAAGCAGAACTATAGCAAAGCAAATTTCAGTGCCCTTGGCCACCTGGGTCATAGGGGACACTTTACTTTTTGCATTGTGCTGTGACCATTTCATGCATAATCTTGGGTCTTCATACTATTTTACAACCAAAGAAAAGAAAATTGGATTGGATATATATATACACACATATATTATATCTACATATACATCCATATGTATATGCCTACAGTACATTAGCAATGCTGGAAATAACTGATGCCACAAAATGCAGCCTGCATGCATGCAGAAGTTTTAGCTGGCCCTTCATCTGCATCGATTGGTGTTGAAGGTCCTTGGTATGTTTCGACAGCCCCATCCTTGATGCTTCTACACTGTTGGGTGCAACATCCTGTCCTGCTGCAGCAGGAAAAATGGTATGAGAAGCTTCATTATGCTTGGAGCACATTTTTGTGCTATTTGCAAATGCTGTAAAATTGTGTAAAAATGTCAACTGAGAAATGAAAATAAAACAGGAACATATTAATATACACTCCAGATTCTGGAGGTAGTGTGTTGAGTTAGTCTATGATGTTTACATTGAAGCAACAATAAAATGTCTTCATGTATGTGATTTCATTATTCTCCCATCAAACTTGTGGATATGGAATTAGTACTATTTTATAGAAGAAATGTAATTACAGAGTATTTAGTTGCTTTGCTCAAGTTCACGCAACCAGAAAGTGAATCACTAGCAATAGAACATGTTCTTTTGGCTTTAGTGGTCTCCATCTATTGGACTCTGCTCCCATGCTAGCAGCATTAATTTTGGATTAGAGAAGAATCAAGTTACAAATTCCCAGTTCTTGACTTTGGGGACTGTTGACATAAGTAATCTCTATGTCAGTTTCTTACTGAATTTTCTCCCAAGTTTTCTAGTTATGTTGCCTATTTAGAATACAATAAGTTGTTAACTTTGAATTCAGTAATATGTTCTGAAGTCAGGATATGCCCTTATCCAGTTCTTTTGAATTATTCCCTATAAATCTTTTCTGGTATTTTTAATTTGTGAAAATGTTAGATACTCTAATTTGATTGAAAATGGTAGAAATTTGGTTGCGCAAAAGTATACAAGATGTCTCTTTATTTCCGTACTATTGATAAACGACTGAAACCAAAGGGGTGTGCGTGTGTGTAGGCCAACAAAAAGGGCTTCTTTCAATTACTGCTCTGCATGAATTGTTGGTAGTTTTACTTCTCTTCCTAAAAACTGGTAACATTCATACAATAGTATTTAACACAAGTATTTTTAAAAAATGAGTTGCTATTTTGGCATTTAAGTTCATATTAACTGACTGTTATGTTGACCAGATAAAAACTATCACCTCACAGCTGATTCTCACTCTTCTTGAAATATTTAAGATGTTTTCATCTCTTGGTTACTGGCTTGCTTGCATGGATCATTCATTAAATAATTTTTTATTTGCTAGATACCCATAATATCTGCCGAACATCTGACTAGCCACAAGTATGTTACCCAGATGTAGAATTGTCATCACTAAACAGTAAGTTCATTATGTAATATACATTAGCCTATCTGTGATAATTTTCTCAAGATAGCAATTGTGTAGTATACTTCAGTTTCACAACATTTCAAAGAGAATATTGTAGGCTTAAATTTTTATCTTAGATGGGTTATGCAGAATAATATTTAAACCAATATCATACTATTACAAAATCATATATAAGGAATGATAGTAAATTTTGGTTTTTATTTCATAATAGACAAAAGCATGAAGAAAATTAAGACTTAAAAGTAAAGAGAAGGCATGATTAAGGGTTTGGCAAATATTTTTACAGGACCAAAAAGTAAATGTTTTTGGCAATGTGGACCATACAGTTTTTGTGGCATCTGGTCAATTCTGCCATGGTAGCATGGAAACTACCAGACATAGTATATAGTATATAGCAGTGGTGGTGAATCTATGGCACACTTGTTGTTTTTAAGTCAAAAGATATCACTGTATGAGTTGTATTTTGTTAATCAAAACCTCAGTATTCAGGTTTAATTGCAGTGTGGGCGCTTTGAGATAAATAAGTGGATTTTGGGTTTCAGTTTGGATATTCATCTCTAAAAGGTTCGCCATCACTGATACAAAAGAATGGATATGGCTATGTTTCTGTAAGACTTTTTTGCAAAATATGAAGCTGGATTTGGCCCACAATCAGTAGTTCTGCTGACCTCTTGTGAAAACGGTTAATTTATTTTTACGATTGTTTAGCTAAATTTTAAATAAGAATGCATGCTTACCTCACCCCACGCATTATCATTAACAAAATCATTAGATTGAAGTAATTGTGACTTTAACTAGTTACATACATACACATACTCACAGAGGCATATATAAAATGACATACCAGTTGAACCAGTTGAACATTTAGGCACTTTAAAATATTTAATAATTCTGAAAACATTGTCATTGCTCAAAAATGTTTTGAAAATCATGTAAAAATAATGTTTTAAATACTTTGAAAGTCAACTTTTTTCATTCTTAGAAGATATATTTTATTTGATATATATATGCATTTAAGTTACTACCTGTGCTCAGAAGCATGATAAGTACTTATTTTTATATTTAAAAATAACTACAACCTTTACAGCTGGATCTGGTAAATAAAATGGATGGTCATTCCATTGTGGCTTCCTTTCTTTCGTTTATTTGGTCATCAGCATTACAAGTAAGGTTTTAGTGCTACTTTGAGTTACAGATCAGGGAGATAAAGATGTAAGTAATCTCAGGGTGACAGATTAAAATAAGAGGTCTGGAGCAAAGGTGGAGGAGCAACTCTTCCCATCAAAATCAGAAAAGTGAACGTGTATGTGAAGAATGGACCTTAAAAAAGGGACAGACTGTGAGGTGAGGATTCATGATAGCAGAGAACCAATTAGAGACCCTGGTAGCTAATCCACAGTGAGAGCTAAAGACAGAGCTCGTTGATGGAGAGAAGGGTAGATAGAATTGGAGAGCATTTAAGAAAAAAATTAGACTGGATCTGAGACATACTAGTAAAGACATGCTGAAATCATGAATTAAATTGATGAAATTGATTTTTATTTAATCAGCTTTCTCGAAGCAGCTCTGAAAAATATGATCATGAGCGATAGTACATTGTCTTTAGTTTGTAGATTAAGGAGAAGAATAACTCTTCATTTGACATGTTAAAAAATCTGTTCCCAGCTTTCATAGTCTTTAAATATGTTTAATATGTATATATGCAACTATGTTCTATTTCTTAGCAATAATTCAGGTTGAGAAATATGAGACCACATGACGTAAGTCATCAGTACATAGAAAAATCAGTATTCTTTTTCTAATGAATGTTCGGATCTTGGTGTTCTGTTTTGAGAAATGTTTGCTTTCATTTGAAGTTACAGTATTTAAACTGACTAAGTCAGCAAAATGGTGATTTTTCTTTTTCTAAGTTATACTCTGAAACATACTTTTAATTTTTAAAAATTCCATGATGTGATTAAATTTCATGTAAAAACCAAAACTTCTAACTCTCAGATGCATTGTAATATCCATTAAAGTTTAATTCATTAGGAATTATTCCTTAATTAATAAGCAAGGATTTTAGTTTTCCTTGGTATTAGAGAAGAAAACTATAAGCTATGAATTACCTAAAAAACTCACTTAAAGTATCATATTTCTGTGAATTTTTATTTTTAAGCCAAATTCTGAAAACTTACTAAATTTTACAAAAGAAATAAAACAAGTTTAAATTCTGCTCCACAATACAACATTTAAAAAAAGAACTCTATGAAATTATGTCCTTGATTCTGCAACTGTATTTAGCTTAGTAATAGGGATTTTTTGAAGAGTCTCTAATTTTATTAAACTAAATATCTTGCTTTCACAAATATCCATGTACCCATTAACAGACAAATTTACTGATTTGTACTTCTGAAGTGGTTTTTGTTTTTACATGAAGATGTAACATGTGTAAACATACTTTAAGAAATAAAAGTTTCATATTAAATATGCATTGTAAACTACATTTAGTATTTCTAGTTTAACAAAACTTATTTCTTTTTTCCTTGTAGATCATACTAAAGAGGAAAGGACAGTGTGCTTGGTTAGAGTAAAGGACGAGGTCATTAGCCATATTGTATATACCTTCAAGCAACACACACAAAAATCCCTCAGCCACAAGACATCCACATATTGCATGTTAAACAGAAGAAAAGACAACATGGAAATCCACTGCACACTTTTGCCTATACACTTTGTACATTTAATTGATATTTGTGCTGAGGTGATATTCCTGTGTAAAAGAACAACAGTGTCTTTCTTTTCTAGCACAGAGTTATGCATTAAAATATGCATACCTAATTAGTGTCTTGTATATTCATGCCATCTTGAAAAGACAGAGTATGGTGTAACCATGATTCTATTATGTATTGGTACGTCTGTAGACCAAGATATAATTTTTTTAAAAATAAGTTTATTTCTTTCAAGGTTTACAAATAACAAAGGTGCACCTTGTATTTAAAATTGCCATTATAGGTGAGAGCGTGCATGCACAGTCATTTTTGTTTAAGAGTAATATTTTTAATGTAATAGATTGTAAGACGTGGTGAGGGGAGGGATCTGACAGAGATGAATGTGCCAAGCAAAACCACAACTGTGTATATTTTAAAGCACATCATGGCTTTAAGTACCATGTTGTCAAGGATTCTCATGAAGTGCCATAGACTGTACATCAAATTAGAGTATTATTTCTTCAGTGTTATTGTTTTCAGAGCCACATTCTGTTGCTTATTTGCTAGTACTAATCAATCAAAGGGCACCATTCTTTTTTCTTTTTTTTTTTTTTTTTGGAAACCAAAGCTGTCTCAGAAATGGCCAATTTAACTACAGTAACAATAGACAGCACAATACAAACTCTCAATACAGATAAACTCACACATACTGGAGATATATATATATATATATATATATATAATAGATAAATATATAAAATTATTTTAATGCATTGTAGTGTAATATTTATGCATACTATACTGTATAACATGTAATTCAAAAGGGATATGCCATTTCTGAGACACGATAACAAAAATATTTGAGGAAATTATTTTGCTTCTGTTTATAGCCTCTGTCAAAAGTCAAAAGACTATAAATGCTTTGCAAATAATGGTTTCACGTTTGCTTCATCAAAGTCACATTCAAAATGGTGACTCTAAACAAAGAAGAAAGCAGCACTATCATCAGATGCATGATAAACCAAAATATGAAAATGGCAAATGTTTAATTAACCTAATAATTGGGTGGGTAAAGTACATGGGTGAATTTTATATGTGATTTTTGTTTTGTTTTGTTCAGATTAACTGCTTATAGCCTTAGAAAGCCTTTTACAAAATAAAAAAAAAAAATAGATGTGCATTCAGTTTTTAAGAATGGATTCATCCAAAGGAATTCCTTTTGTTTTGTTTTGTTTTGTTTTTTTTCCTCTTTTGTGGTTTGGATGTTGCAGCTAGTAAAGGATATTTTTGCTCTGTTCAGCAGTTCTAAAAACTGGTGAAGTAGGGGCCAGGTCACTGGTAGTTATAGTATGGAATGGAAGAAGTGAAAGTTCAGTTATAGAACTTTCCATACTTCCAAGTTTACTGCAAGTTTTTATGCTTGAGAGAGATGCTTTCTAATATAAGACTGATGTGTTGATTTTACTGATTGTACTGTACATCTATTAAAGCCTTAGATTATTACATTACGGGTTGGAACCCATACCAATGTAATTTCAATCGTGTTAAGAGAGTAATGGTGACTTCACATGTTATTGTAGTTAGTTACATTATAGAATATTACTTATTTTTCTTGTTAAAATGTAGTTCTTCATTTCCTACATTTATTAGATTTTCATTTTCTATTAACAATTGAATATCATTTCAGTTTATAGACTATTGTTTTATTAGATTTTACTGATGAATTTTTCAAAACACACAAAAAAATTAGTTTTTCCTTCATAACATACTCAGTTTTGAATTACATGTAGTGTTCTATGGATATTCGTATTACTGTTAACTAAATGATTTATATTTTACTGATTTAATATTACAGTGTAAGAATGTCAGTCATTGTTAGTTCCTGTCTAGTTTTCATTAAAAGAACAAAGATCTTTTATATGGATATCTTATAAATATATAATCATTGCTAAGTAAGAAGTTAAGTTGTTGCTATCGCAACAATCCTGGCAGACAATTGAGTAATATTTTGATGATTTATTTTGTTTGTAATTAGTTATTATAAGAAGATCTAGATCCTAGATACTAGAATAAAATTTATTTTCTACTGTATCCATTTCAAATGTTAAAGTATTGTTTAATATTTTTGAAATCCCTGAATATCAGGCCTTGTTATAAATAAGCTGCATAATCAATAAATAGAACAAGGGACTTTTTGTTGATAATCCAAATACTCAAAGTTTACGTAATGCGAATTATAGTGTGTGTGCAAACTCTTGAGGGTTGATTATGCTGCAGTTTAGCATGTTGGAACGTCTAGAGGGAAGGTTGACTTTTTGCACTTCTGTATATAGTCAAAAGAGAGAAACCTGTATAATAGTAAGATCTTATTTTGAATAAAAACGTCTATAATTACAAGGAGTTTTGTTAAGGCTAATAAAATGACAGACTGAGCAAAATTGCTTGCAAAAGTGGCACAGAGTTAGCACTCCATACCCCCTCAAACATGTTGCTTTGCTTTTTGTGGACAGCTTGTAGTTTGCCAGGATATTTTCAGCTGGAAAGATACGTCATCTTCCAAGATCTCATGACTGACAAAAACTCCATTGGGCCAAATCTGCCTGAAGATCATTACCAAAAATAGCAGGTACTTCAACCATTAAGGTGAAATCATGGATCAAATATTCCTTACATTTTTCAAAACTACTGCATGTTTAAAACTTCAACAAAGAAAAAAAGAAAGAACTATACTAAGGACATATATTATTCAAATCAGTTTCTGCCAATTTCAGTGGTTTATTGTTCACAAAAAAATCTTCAAAACAAGTATTGACTTTCACAAAATTTAAACCATAAACAGGCAAACCAAACAGCACACCATAGCTATAGTTGTTATGTGATTGTTTTTTAATTGCTGTAGGATCCTGTTCTTTCAGCAGGTGAAAAAAAAAAAAAAAACATAGTTCAAATTTCACAGTTTTAATTTCCAATGCAGAAGCACTTGAAAAAGCAAAGTGTGATAATGGACACTTGTTTAATGAATTAGTCTACCCAGCCTTCACTCCAGCTGGTTAATAATGTTGCACTTATCAGCAGCCCTACCACTTTTATCTGCTGAAAGGACAAACGTGCTTGGTTTTACTATTATGTAATCACAACTTACTTTCTGCTTGTAGTTGCTTAAAATTATGTATTTTGTCTTGGGCTACAATTTGTTTTATGCTTCTTTTATTATTACTGCAGTAGTTGACTTTGCTGTATGGAAAAATAAAGTGAAATTGCCCTAATAAAACTTCTCTTTCTTAAGTATATTTGTGTATCTGAGATTGAATAGTATGAAATTTGTGTGCATTACATGCAGCCATGCATGTGCATCTTTAGAACATCTGATACATAATTTCATTATCTGATATTAATGGATTGCAAAGAAGGCATTTACTTTTTTCTCACTGGTATCTTTTGGATACTGAAGATCTGAGTCAGATAGATGGTCATTCTGTGCGCAGTATCTTCTGAAAACATTGTTTCTGACAAATGCTGACAGAAATTTAAAGGGGAAAACTATAGCAATACTCCCCCAAAATCAGTTCTAGATTATTATCTCAAATCAACTGGAAACCAACCCATTTAAGAAAATGTTTCAATAATGAAATGCATATGATACTTCATTCAGAAAGGTAAAAGTGTTTATGGATATACCCAGCTGAGCCAAGCCGTACTGTAACTTGTGATTGTTAGTGTGTGTGTGTGTGTGTTATATATAAATTCCTCGCAATAATGTAATCATTACATACTGCAGACATGTACTAATAAAATTTTTTTAAATATTTTGTTTGAAATAAGGAAGGGCCTGGTATCTCATACAGGCTTTCATGTTACAATATCTGTAGATAGCCAGCAAAGGCCCAAATTTCATTATGAAGAAAATTTGTACATTTGTATATTCTTCTAGTTCTGCTATATATTGACTTAGCCACTTGGTATTTGGTCAAGGGCTACATATTTTCCTCCTAAATGATCTCTCTTTTTTCCTCCTGAAACTTATTGAAAGCATCAGAATCCCACTAGTTATAATTAACATAGTTTATAATGAGCACAGTTCTGTTTCTAGTAGAATCTTTGCGATATTTTCCTTGTTCTCCACTAGTGGGTCTATTCTAGAGACTGTTGATGGTAAAGAAAATGACTGGCCTGGACTTGATTCTCTAAAGCAAAGGGCCATGGCTTTTTTTGAGTATATATATAAGGACACTGACTACAATTAGTGATCGTATTTTGGTTATCTTCTAATTGAACAAAGAAACTATAACAAAAAACCCTTGTAACTTTTTAATACTCTAAGTGAAACTGTTTTATTATTATAAGAACAAATGAATGGATCTGAAAAACAGTAGGTAAGATTCTTTTTTTTCCAGACAATATTTCATATTCAGAAGATATTACTGCTGTAGAGCCCACTATATATCCTCAGCTCATGTGATTTTCAGAAGTTACTTTCTTCTTGCTCACTTATGGGAACAAACTCATTTTGTAGAGTCACTACTTTATAATAGACACTGGCCCAGTCCATGGTGGCAAACCTAGAGCTCTCAGTGATGCAGACAACCCACTGTGGCACATGTACCTTAGGTTTACCACCACTGGCCTAGCACAAAAACCATTTTAAATGTTCAAAGTTGATTGTGTTGACAAAGTGAAGGAAACCAAAAAAGTGAAATGTAAATGTTTTAAAGTCTAAAGATTTGCTCTGAGCTCTTCTGATCTGTGATAATATTGTGACTTACTGTGATTGGAATGTGGCCCCTTGTCATAGCCATCCTTGGCCTCGTCTCTAGCGCTGTCCCTCATAGGTTGGTTAGCCCCACAAATCCCGATAAAAGTACCCCAATAAAGGCTTTGGCACCTCATAGGTTGGTTAGCCCCACTAACCCTGATAAAGGCTTTTGCACCTGAGTAGTTGTGGTGAGTAGTAAATCTAGAAATATCCTAGAATGCTGTTTGCTAAGGTCACATGGGGCCATGGCTTCCCCCTTAGAGTTTCTCAGGAGATGGATTCCCCTTCCTCGGGGTATCAGGGTAGCAATATCCAGGTACACACTGGGGTGACTTGACCTGTGGCTTACGGAGTTTTCAAGCCCTGCTGTCAGACTCCTCTGCAGTGTCTGCACTTGTGTTGCCTGCTTCCTGTCCTGCTCACCCCAGGGGCAGCCAGGGACCCAGGGTTAGGCCCTATTGTTGGACATCTGCTGCTTCTCGGGCATTGATTCCCTCTCACTAGCCAAGACTTCAAAGCCTCTTTTTGTTGCATAAGCTTTTTCTTGTTCCTGCTGCTTTTCTTTCACTAATTATATGTTAGAAAGCAGAAAAACTAGGCCCATTTCTTTCATTTCTGGAAAAAATAGTAGAGGCCAGGTAGAACCCAGGAAAATAAAATCTGTCACCCTTAGCAACCTGTTAGGACTTTCTGAAATAATTTACTGAATCAAGTGGGCTCAGTTACTTTTTTCCCCCTCCTTATTGAGTTTTGTAATAACAAAACTTACAATTTTATTTTTAACAGAAGAGGAATAAACTTGAAACTTTATTCATAGTGGTTATGTAAATTTTAACTGCCATTTTCAGTCATTTGTCTCTTGGTGGACACCTGGAATGTTGTATATTTGATCTTTGAACTTAGAAATGCTCAGCAGTGGGTTAAACTGCAGCTTTGGGTTGTCCTGTGTGATCTTCCATGAACACAATTTCATGTGAGGGAAATTCACATTATTGCAGCAGCTACCTGGATAGTGATCATGAGTAAATCCTTGGGGAAATAAAAGCACTCACTCCTCCATAGGAAGGCCCCATCTTTATGTGATCTCAGGCTCTGTGGCCACACTTACTAAATCTGTTGTGGCAATAGATATGCAGGTTCCAGAAAGGATCAAATGTTGAGTTATATCCTCAAATTATAACTGAAAGGCAAATTATTTGGATCAGGATAGCTGTGAGCAAGATTGCCCTTGCAGATAGGATGTGTTGTCAGGAGAAAGCAGGCCACAGTCGTAATGGACTTATAAACAAGCAGTCAGTGGCTCTCAAACTCTGGAAACAGGTAAGCTGTCTGTACAAGCACATACTTGAATTTAAGTTTAGAGCAGTAAATTAACAACTAAAATTTAGTCAAGCTAATCTTTAAAATTCACTTAGAACGACATACAGTACATTAAGCTGGAAGAAATTGTATGTAGTGAGACAGTGTTAAAGCTAAGCAGAAAGTCTAGACTTCTGAGATCCCATAATGAGGCATGAATTCAGGCATTCTAAGACGGAACAAAGACACATGGAACCAGAAGTCCACAGCAGAGATTAAATAAAAACAGCCTCAGCATTTGACACCTAATAGTAAAAACTCGGATATTGCCCATGGGCTTAAGTAATAAGAAAGACCTCGCGTTTCCCCTCCTTTGTTTTACTACCAGATCACCTTTCTCAAGTCCCCCTAATTTCCCAACGTAGGGTTTTGTGGTCTCTGAAGAGAAGCATAAGTACTAACATTGGCCTATTGGAGTAACAGAGGTAGAGAGAAGGGCTGATTTCCACAATCTCATGATTGGGAAGGATGGTAACTACTATAGATGTTAGTAGGAAACAGAAACTACATAAGGGTAACTTCTTACAATGATTACATGAACTAAGAAATTTTTAACACTCATAAAATGCAAAGCTTTTAAAGCATTAGGGAGACATTACAACGGTTAAGTTCAGAGGATGTGCAGTCAGAACACCTGGATTCATGTCTCACTGTCTCAGCACTTAGACCTTGGCAAGGCCCTTCACTTCTTTGTGGCTCTGAACTTCAGTAAACTAGGAATGGAATACCTATCTTCCAGAGTTGCCATTTTCAGCTTATTCTAGATTCTAATTATTTCGGTGATCTTCAAAAAGTATTAATACTTGTTTCCTACTTCTAGCCATGGGGAAACTACATGGTTAATATGTACTGAAGTGTTTAAAATGGGCCTGGCATATAGCTAGCAATTAATAATGTTTATTATGATGACTGTTATGGTCATTATACCAATCACTCCCATTTTTTAAATTTTATCCTATTCCTAGTATTACATCTCTTTCAAAGCAACTGGGTATACACTCTCCATTTGGGCAATCTGTACATCTGTCTTTTCTGTTCAGTAGTACTGAAACTGTAACTTCCTATAATTTACCACAACAGGTCCTAATCATTGTTTCCCTTCTGGTGAGTATTTTAAAAATAGATTTCAGTACTTTTTTATTCACTCAGAAAAATTTTACTTCTTTATATGCGTAGTTCTTATTCCAGCTTGATATGGCCACAGACCATCCCTTCTCATGTCAAATTGAAATTAACCATGTAGACATATCTGAATTTAACTCTGAATCACCTTTTAATGTTCATATTGAACTTGAAAAAATGATAGAAAGGATGTATTATCATAAAAATCCCGCCATTAAATATGCAACTGTTAAAAATTCTAGTAACATCTGACGGTCACTAATATATTTCCATGACATACTTTACCATAGGCTTCTTTTAGATGTTTAAATTGACATTGACTCTTCTCAGTAAATATACACTGATAGGATAAATAAGAACCTTAAAATGACTGAGGTATATAAAATAATTTCCTTTGATTATGCAGTGCCATGTTTTTTCCATCTCCCACAATAATCAGGCACTATACTGAAAGAAACAGACTAAGGGAATATTAGTTTCTCTTTTTCAATAAAATGTTACAACCACGCTAATCAGTGTTTGTTTTATCTTTCTAACCTAAATATTGAAACAATATATCAGAATTGTGTAATGTAAATAATTTCACTCAAGCAGCATTTAAAAATATTTGTAACTGATAGATAAAAACTTTAAAATACATTTTGATAGGGTTATTATATTTTTATGCATGCATTCGTTGTATATATTTAAATGATAATAAACAGCTACCTGTTCAGTTACTGTATCAGGATTTTCTAGTGAAACAGCTATCACGCAACATATACAAATGAATAAGAAATTACAAGATTGGCTTACGATGGTCAGCCTCAGAGTTGGATGAGGAAGCATGCAGTCTGCACACTGAAGGCTGAAAGGTCCAGTCCAAAGTCCAGAGCTTACTGCAGTGTTGTTTTGTGCAAGTTCATGTAAGAAGGCCTGTAGATCTGTGGTGAATGCTGAAGAATCTATGCTGGAAGGCTGAAGAGTGCCAGGCGAAAGCCAAGCAGTTGTGCCAGAAGCCTGGAAATGACATCCAAGCTGAATGGAGCTCCAGGGAAGATTCAAAAGAACCAACATTCTGTCCTTCCTCATTTCCATTTTATTGTATGTGGTCACTGTCCTGGCTGGGAGGTGTCCTTTCCATCCACACCATCTCAGTGTCCTCCTCTTGCACAGACTGAGAATGTTTACAAAGTAAGGCCCCCCTGAACCCCTGCTGAGTCACTTAGTTAAATTTCTAAACTCAGGTTGACACAATGAACAACATCCTAGAGGGGTAAGGGTATGTCCTCTAACTCCCAGGGTTTAGAGCTGCTGAGTTACTTTGTTAAACTTATGGGCTTCTCAAGTTGACACAATGTATCAACCATTACAGTTACTCTAGGGAGACATTCAAAATCCTTCTAGCTTTTTGAAATTTATAGTACATTATTGTTCTCTACCTCACTATGCAGCAACACACTGGAGCTTGCTCCTAACTGTGGCATTTTTTAAAATAGAATAACTTATTTTTCAATAAGGAAATGAATAAAAGTATTATATTCAGAGTGTTACATATTTTCAAAAGTGATTTACACCAAAATGAATGAGAAATGTCAAGATTCCAGGAAGCTTTAATTTTCTAGATTTTCAAAAGACATTTTAATAAACATCCATTGCTTTTTGTTTAAATTCCTTTATATTTTATTCCTTTATTTTTCATTTTGAATTCATTTATATTCTGGTTCATTTTTTCCACTTTGGTGAGTCAGTTTGTCAAGATGAGACAATTAAATTATAATATTTTACAAAATATGCTATTCATCTATCAATGTTGCTTGAAAAATGACATAAAATATCTTACTGAATCAGTAAAACAAATGTTTTAAGGAAGAATAGCAAAATGATATTAATATTAAAATTTAAAAATATTAATTGGTTTCCATGTAATTACGTCATACTATTTGCATATTCTTTGAAGCACAGATTTCAGTATTAAAATTGACAATCAAATGTGTTTATTTAGATGGTTATCCACACACACTCCCTCCCACCACTACATACTGAATAACCAGAGTTAATTGATAGCTATAATAAGACAAGCATGTATAATACCTTAAGAAGATTTGTTAGCAGACTAACTCTATCAACTATGTGATAAGAACAAGCAGCAATATAGGAGGTAACATTTGAACAGAGACCTGAATGAACTAGAAGAGGCATCACATTATTCTTATGGCCATACTTTCCTGCTACATTTGTTGTAAAATACTGATTCATTTTTCCTGCCAAATTAAATGCCAATAGATCCAGAAATATCCTTCCTTCAGATGCCATAGGGGTAACTAATTGTTTCTCTATTTTCTCACAATGTATTGCTTTTATTTGTATTTATTTTGTTCTGTCAGTATTACAGTGTAATTATTTACAATTTGGAATTTCTTCAAAGATAGATACTTGTTTGTTAGATTTACTTATCTGGTGGTAAGTAAAGGCCTAAGTCATGCTTTATACTTAATAGGCCTCAGTGAATTGTTTGTTTCCTTAAATTTGTAATTCAATCTGCCTTTTTAACTTTCACTGAAAATGCCTATTAGGAACATTGTAGGTACTATTGCTTTTCAAGCAGTGGAAACAATGCAGCCACAGAGTTACTAGAAATGTTGCCAAAATCACAATGCCTTTCACTGTTTGAAAAATCTGGAGAAATAAACTGATGTTTCCCAGCCCACACCCTACTCTGTATCTCCTTGACTGTACCATCAAATAGAATAATTTAGAATACATTTAATTAAAGCTACTCTCTTTTCTTCAGTAGAGAAATTTGATTAACTGGTTCATTGTCCGTAGAGAAAATATAACAGTGAACATTCCTTTATGTGTTGGAAGCATTTATGAACTTTTTCTTAAAAGGGATCTAGCAAAAGGGAGACCATACCTTTATAATCTTTCTACATTCTTTAAAATATGTCTGAGCCTGAGAGTCTGTTGTCTTGCATGCAAATGTTCTGTCTTCTCATCTGCTAACCAGTTCTTATTTATGCATATGTTTCTTTTCTTAGACAATTCAAGCCTGTGTTAATTAGCATTAATAGCAGAGTACATGAGATATAAACCATTTACTTGGGAATGGTAATAATTGTTACAGTGGACATTGATTTTTACAGAAAATAGAGCTACACCCTTTGTACTTTTTAACATATTTATCTTGTTTTAATTGGTTTCTTTTCCTTTCTTCTTGCTGCCTTTATATTATCTCACAAGGCTGTAAGCTTTCATAGTTATTTTAGGCTACTTGAGCTCCCAACAGAATCCTTGCTATGAAAATGTGTATTGAAAAAAAAAAAAGAAAGAAAGAAAATGTGTATTGAACAATTGCTTTATTTATTTATTTATTTATTTATTTATTTCAAAGAGAGTAAAACTAAATGTAACAAAATAGAGCAAAGTAGACCAGAAGAAAAAACTGTGACACAGATTTCAAAGCAAGATAATAGGATATCTACTATAGCTATCATAATGTCTTTTGTTTTCTTCCATATAATTGTCTATATCTTCACATGCAATGAATTTATACAAAACAAAATAGCATTAAACTGATTAGAACAGAATGATGAAGGCATTATAGGCCTTCAAAACCAGACAATAGGAAGATCAACAATGGCTGCCATAATGTCTCTTGTTCTCATTCAAATTAGCTGTCCATACCTTCACGTATGTTGAAATTAAATAATTCAAAACAGCCTAAAACCACTCTGAACAATAAATAATAGCATTACTGGATTTCACAGCATGACGATAATGTATCCGCAATGGATACCATAATGTCTCTTTTTCTTCAAAGTAGCTGTTCATTTCATCACACATAATATAATGGATTCTAGTTCACTGTTTAGGGGAAGTTCTATGCATGTATAAGACTGTTGGGAGCCGCAGCCCCGAGCCCGGTCGCCTCACTTGGCGGACGTGAGGCCTGTAGTAAAGAGTGAGGCCTGAGGTAGATTACCCCTCCCATCGAATATGCTAGTTTCCTGCTTACCGCGTAAACAACCCGCTCAACAATATAGTCTGCCTGGCAACTGATGATGTTAGCCAATCAGCTTGCCTTGCTTACTTTAACATGATTGGACACTGTACCCGTATATATATACTGGTGCCACCCCTGGGAGGAAGTAGAAGCCAGGTAGAAGCCCGGAAGTAGAAGCCCAGAAGGAGCCGCAGAGAGCGGACCGATAGAGGCTTCGGGGCAGACTGAAGCACAAGAGGAGCCGCGGAGAGCGGACCAAAGGAGGCTTCAGCTGGGAGAACCCAGGGCAGGCTGTACGGAGAAGAAGAATAAAAAGAAAAGGTTGTCCACTACCAGACTGTGTCGTGTGTCCTTCCTGCCGGCCGGGAGCGGACATCGACATTTGGAGGCCCGCCCGGGGACTGATCACCCCCGAGACGTGGAAGTGGACAACGCTCCAGTACAGAGCTGCGAGACAGGTGAGTTGGGGATAAGCCTGGGCTCTGGGTGGCGCGCACCTACAGGGCTTTTAGACTCCCCTCAGGCTCACGCGTAAGTGGCGGATTCCTTGGGCCTCACGCGGTGAGTAACATATTAAAAAATGGGAAACATGCTAGGTAGCGGCACTAAGAGCGAGGGTGGTTGTGGAGAAAGCTCTCAAGAGCTTACAAAAGTATGCAGGGTATCTGAGCAGGCCCAGTCAGGGAGCTCCCGAGAGGGGTCCGTCAAGGGGAACAAGGATGCTAAGGAGGAGGACGGGGCTCTAGCCTCGGAGTCGTCTGACTCCGAGGACGAGGGAAAGTTGAATGGCAAGGAGGCCAAAGAGACCAGCTGTCAGGAGCCTAAGTCGCTCAATAAGGAGTCGCAGGGTTCTTTTCCAGCGTTGCCCCGCGAATTGCGCTCTGCTCAACCTGGTCTGCGGAGGAGTAGAGAGCTCCTGAGCGCTCCCCGGCGCGAGAGGGAGGCGAAGCCTTCCGCCCCACCTTGGGGGCCGTTTCCGGAGGCGATCCCTCGCCGCGGGGCGGCCGCCCGGGAGCTCCCTTCCTCTTCGCCAGAACAGGAAGTGATGCACGGGCCCCCATTTTCCGCCCAATCACGGCCGCTGTCTTATGCTCCGCCGCCGGCAGGTCGGTATTTTTACAGGCGGCTTTGGCAGGGGGGACGCTTGTCTCATGAGGTACATCCACCTGGGATAGATAGTGGCCCCTACGAGATATTTCCTGTACAAGTAGCTATGGGCCAGGGACGCAATGTATGGGAGCCTTTTGAGATAAAGCAGATTAGAGAACTTAAAAATGCAGTTACAACCTTTGGGCCGACTGCGCCTTACACCATTGCCATGCTGGAGAATCTGTCTTCTGGGCCCCTCACCCCCGCGGACTGGATTCAGCTGGCAAAGGCCTGTCTGCCCTCGGGCAGTTACCTGGATTGGCGAGCCTGGTATGCAGAGTTCTCTGCCGAGCAGGCTGAGAAAAACGCCAATCGAGGAAACCGGGGGTGGAACAAGGAAATGCTTATGGGAGAAGGTCGGCACGCTGATGACCAGACCCAGTTCCCCGGCGCTGTCTATGAGCAAATCAATGCCATAGGACTCCGCGCCTGGAAGCAAGTAAGTGGTGCTGGAACAGCCTCCTTGTGTCTTTCAAAAATAATTCAGGGTACCACAGAGCCATTTGTTGACTTTGTGGCCCGAATGCAAGATGCTGCCGATAAGATATTTTCTGATCCGGGAGTGGCTCAACCGCTGGTAAGACAGCTGATTTTTGAGCAATGTACAAAGGAGTGCAAGGCAGCGATAGCTCCTCATAAGAACAAGGACCTCAATGCCTGGATTAGGATATGCAGAGAGATAGGGGGGCCGCTCTCCAACTCGGGAGTGGCTGCTCTCCTGGCCGCGGCTGTACAGCAGAGGGGACCTCGCGGGTTAGAAGGGGAATGTAAGGCTAAAGGGTGTTTTGCCTGCGGGGAGCCAGGACACATTAAACGTCACTGCCCAAACAATGCAGATGCTAGGCCTCGTCCTAGGAATGAAGAACCATATGTTTGTGGGCGATGCAAGAAGGGATCACACAAAGCTGAGGAGTGTAGGTCGGTCTTTGATGCTCAGGGCAACCGTATTTGTGGACAAGATGCTAGAGAGCCAAAAAACGGCCAGAGGGGGCCCCCTTCGAAGGCGGGCCCCCGCCCCAGAGACAGGACAGCTCAGGGTGGCAGCCTTCAACAAGGGCCACCCCTGGGTCAGCAGGTGTGGACCTCAGTGTCGCCTCAGGACTTATATTAGTGCCTGATATGGGTGTTCAAGTGGTTGAAACCACCTTTAAGGGACCGTTACCCGAAAATTCCGTGGGTCTGGTGATCGGGAGATCCTCCACGGCCCTTCGGGGTCTCACAGTAGTCCCGGGGGTCATAGACTCAGACTACACAGGACATATTAAAATTATGGTTCAATCTCTTGTGGGTACTATGGTAATTAATAAAGGAGACAAGATAGCGCAGCTCTTGCTGCTCCCCAGTCTCCACAAGAGATTTCCCTCAAAGCAGAAAATTAGAGAAAGTCAAGGTTTCGGTTCCTCAGGGGAAGTCTTTGAGGGACTCCATATGACACTTGATAAAAGGCCCATGCTCTCACTTAAGGTCAATGGCAAGAATATAACAGGGCTCCTAGACACAGGAGCTGACCGTTCCATTATCTCCAGAAAGGATTGGCCTTCCAACTGGCCCACCAACACTGCAGATAACACGCTGCAGGGCCTGGGGATGGTGTCAGCTCCTCAGGTTAGTGCTTCAACCCTGCTCTGGTGCGATGAGGAGGGTCATCAGGGCCATTTCCAACCGTTTGTGTTGCAGTTGCCAGTGTCTCTATGGGGAAGGGACATCCTCACTCAGATGGATGTCACGCTTACGTCAAACTGCTCCCCCCAGGCTAAGGATATACTCAGGAACCAGGGATATACCCCCGGCAAAGGCTTGGGCAATGCCCTACAGGGTCGGACATCCCCAATACCAGTAGAGAACAAAAAAGGTAGGCAAGGATTGGGTTTTTCTTAGGGGCCGCTGAAGAAGCTCTCCTACCCACTTCGATCAAAATCACCTGGAGATCAAATGATCCGGTTTGGGTACCTCAGTGGCCCCTGCCTAAGGAGAAGCTATTAGCCTTGTCAAAAATAGTCAGTACACAACTTAGATTAGGACACATTAACATTGTCTCCGATTCTAGGTATGTGGTCAATGCTATGCAAGTGCTTGAGACTGCCGGTTTAATTAGATCCACTTCCACAGTGGCTGGACTGTTCCTGTCTATCCAGACATTGCTTCAGAACAGGCACCATAAGGTCTTCACCACCCACATAAGAGCACATACATCCCTGCCAGGGCCTATGGCACAGGGGAATGCGGCTGCTGACACTGCCACTCGCCCGTTATGGATTTTTACCTTACTAACACCAATCGAGCGAGCCCGTGCCTTCCATGATAAATTTCATGTTAATGCCAGGACACTAGCAAACCATTTCCATGTTTCTAGAGCAGATGCACGAGATATCGTGCGACTATGTGACTCCTGTGCCACATACAAACCTGCCATACCGATGGGAGTAAACCCTCGAGGTTTGATCCCTGGTGATGTTTGGCAGATGGACATCACACATATACAGGAGTTTGGGACTCTTAAATATGTTCATGTTTCCACAGACACCTGTTCTCGCGTCATATTTGCAACAGCAGAAACAGGTGAAAAAGTGTCTAATGTGATCAATCATTGCCTGGCGGCTTGGGCCGCATGGGGCAAACCAAAAATATTAAAAACTGATAATGGACCAGCCTATATAGGCAAAGCTTTCAATGAGTTCTGCAAAATGATGGAGGTTCAATTAAAACATGGTATCCCATACAATCCCCAAGGTCAAGGAATCATTGAGAGGGCTCATAGAAGCCTCAAAGAAATTTTACAAAAACAAAAAGGGGGAGTAGGCCAAGGCCTGGCCCCAAAGGCACGATTATCCATGGCACTATTCACACACAATTTTTTAAATTTAAATAATGATAATCGCTCCCCAGCTGTGGAGCACTGCAACCCTTCCCCCAACCATAAAGGGTGGGTGAAGTGGAAAGATGTCCTGACAGGACAATGGATGGGCCCGGATCCAGTGGTCAGCTGGAACCGAGGCGCGGTTTGTGTTTTCCCACAGGAACCGGGACGAGAACCACTGTGGATACCGGAGAGACTGACACGGACAACAAAGCCCTCGACTAAAGATCAGACCTGCCCTACCGGAGATCCATCACAGACCAACCAACAAGATGAATAGAAATAGCGGTAGCCCGAAATGGACAAGAAGATCCTCAGGCATATGCATGGCTCGCTCGCCTAGCCTACGACCGAGTCTAGGGACGGTGAGCTTCCCACACTCCTCCTCTAAAAAATTATGATATAGCAGGGTAGATGAGTCAATGACGGGTAAGAGCGTGCCTCCCCAGCACGACTCGACCTAAGCCAGGCCCTACCCCATCCTGCACGTAAGCCGCTGGACTGTTAGATGCTGCCCAGGTCTAAATTTCTCTCTGAGGGGATTTCTTTACGGAGAGGAAATGAGTGCAAGCTTGTGTGCATCCAGGTTCCGTCCAGTTTGTGCCTGGCCCTAGAAAAAGGACGAGGGCCTCAGGGCCTTGGCAGACCATGGGACGGCCGACCAGGGTCTAAGCCAAGGACCTACGGTGGGCCTACGCATAGGGCATAAGCCTCTGCACCCAGTCCAGGAAGGGCTACGATGCGCACATTCATAAAAAATAAAAAAGGGGGAGATGTTGGGAGCCGCAGCCCCGAGCCCGGTCGCCTCACTTGGCGGACGTGAGGCCTGTAGTAAAGAGTGAGGCCTGAGGTAGATTACCCCTCCCATCGAATATGCTAGTTTCCTGCTTACCGCGTAAACAACCCGCTCAACAATATAGTCTGCCTGGCAACTGATGATGTTAGCCAATCAGCTTGCCTTGCTTACTTTAACATGATTGGACACTGTACCCGTATATATATACTGGTGCCACCCCTGGGAGGAAGTAGAAGCCAGGTAGAAGCCCGGAAGTAGAAGCCCAGAAGGAGCCGCAGAGAGCGGACCGATAGAGGCTTCGGGGCAGACTGAAGCACAAGAGGAGCCGCGGAGAGCGGACCAAAGGAGGCTTCAGCTGGGAGAACCCAGGGCAGGCTGTACGGAGAAGAAGAATAAAAAGAAAAGGTTGTCCACTACCAGACTGTGTCGTGTGTCCTTCCTGCCGGCCGGGAGCGGACATCGACATAAGACTACATGTATACCTATCTTTTCTGTATTAGAGGGAAAAACAAAACAAAACTAAACTAATT